CTTTCAAATCAAACCTTTCAACCAGCTTTGATTCTCAAATACAGAACCTCCCTCTACATCTTATGGATCTGCGAAGACCTCAATCTCTCAACTCCTTCATTGATAGGATTTTTTTGATGATTTTGTAGAGAGTTTCATGAGGGTGTTTTAGAGAGTGCAGGAGGGTTTCAAGGAGGGAGAGATAAGGTTTTCAGAGACGAGGGAAAATCTGAAAATTTGTCAAGCGCGAATTCACTTAAGTAGCCTTTTTTTAGCGTGTTTTAAAAGACGACGCTTGTTAATGAGAGATAAGGTTTTCGAAGACGGGTGAAAATTTGAAAATTTGTTGAGCGCGAATTCACTTAAGCGGCCATTTTTTAGCGTGTTTTAAAAGACGACGATTTAAAAAAAAAACCGTCATCTTAACATATAATAGATTTACTTCATAATAGACGACCATTTTCATATAAAAAGAGTCGTCTTTACATATAATAGACGACCCTTTTTATATAAAAAGGATATATTTTAAATTGACGATCGAATTGGTTCATTGTATTTATATAGGGTCAAGGAGTGTAGCTGTAAAAAATCCTCAAAATCAGAGTTGAGAAGTAAAGACGACCCTTTTTTTTAAAAACCGTCATCTTTACTTCACAATAGACGACCTTTTTTTTAAAAAAAGTGTCATCTTTACTTCATAATAGACGACCCTTTTTTTAAAAAAACCGTCATCTTTACTTCACAATAGACGACCCTTTTTTATTTATACTTTCATTAAATACAACATAAGATTTTGTGGTATCCACTAGTGTAAATATTTTAAATTGAAGATCAAATTGAGTCATTGTATTCATATAGGGTCAAGGAGTGTAGCTATAAAAAAATCATCAAAATCAGAGTTGAAATAACCATTAAATCTTGATTTTTCTTTTATAACCGTCGAAATGTTTTGTCCCATCATCTCTGATTTATTTATTTTTTCGATTTTTGGCGTATATGATCTCGATGTGTGAACAAACTAGTTTGACGATTGGATCGTTGAAATTAGTTTCGTAGAATGCGTATGCCATCAAAATAATATATTCACTAACAATTAAGAGTTTATTTATACTTTCATTAAACATAACATAAGATTTTGTGGTGGTATCCACTAGTGTAAAATTTTTAAATTGAAGATCAAATTGAGTCATTGTATTCATATAGGTTCAAGGAGTGTAGCTGTAAAAAATCATCAAAATTAGAGTTGAAATAACCGTTAAATCGTGATTTTTCGTTTATAATCGTCGAAAAGTTTTGTCCTATTACTTAATCTCTGAATGTTTATATTTTCCGATTTCTGGCGTATATGATCTCGAAGTGTAAACAAACAAATTTGACGGTTGGATCGTTGAAACTAGTTTCGTAGAATGCGTATGCCATCAAAACAATATATTCACTAACAATTAAGAGATTATTTATACTTTCATTAAATATAACATAAGATTTTGTGGTATCCACTAGTGAATATTTTAAATTGACGATCGAATGCAGTCAGTGTATTCATATAGGGTCAAGGAGTGTAGCTGTAAAAAAATCATCAAAATCGGAGTTAAAATAACCGTTAAATCGTGATTTTTGTTTATAACCATCGAAAAGTTTTGTCCCATTACGTGATCTCTGAATGTTTATTTTTTCCGATTTTTGGCGTATATGATCTCGAAGTGTAAATAAAAAAATTTGACGGTTGGATCGTTGAAACTAGTTTCGTAGAATGCGTATGCCATCAAAACAATATATTCACTAACAATTAAGAGTTTATTTATACTTTCATTTAATATAACATAAGATTTTGTGGTATCCACAAGTGTAAATATTTTAAATTGACGATCAAATGCAGTCATTGTATTCATATAGGGTCAAGGAGTGTAGTTGTAAAAAATCAGCAAAATCAGAGTTGAAATAACCGTTAAATCTTGTTTTTAAAAAACCGTCATCTTTACTTCACAATAGACGACCCTTTTTAAAAACAAACCGTCATATTTTCATATAATAGACGACCTTTTTTTTTAAAAACCGTCATCTTTACTTCATAATAGACGACCCTTTTTAAAAAAAAAAAACGGTCAGCTTTACTTCATAATAGACAACCCTTTTTAAAAAAAAACCGTCATCTTTACTTCATAATAAACGACCCTTTTTATAAAAAAACCGTCGTCTTTAAATATAATAGACGACCATTTTTATATAAAAAGGGTCGTCTATGATGAAGTATAGACGATCCTTTTTATAAAAAAACCGTCGTCTTTACTTAATAATAGACGACCCTTTTTATAAAAAAACCGTCGTCTTTACATATAATAGATGACCTTTTTTATAAAAAAAACCGTCGTCTTTACTTAATAATAGACGACCCTTTTTATAAAAAGAGTCGTCTTTACATATAATAGACTACCCTTTTTATATAAAAAGGGTCGTCTTTACTTAATAATAGACGACCCGTTTTATAAAAAAACCGTCGTCTTTACTTATAATAGACGACAGTTCGTTCAAAACAACCATGTCTTTACCCAAAAAAGGACACTTGATTTTTAAAAGACGACGCTTGTCATACCTGCTGTCGTTGTTTTTTGGTCAGATTTTAACTCTGAAGAAAAGCTTTTTAATAAGACGACGCTTTTTTATTTGTGTGCGTCGTTATAAAAAAATTCTCAACAGTATCTCCATTTTTTAGTTGTTTAAGTCACTTATCCACGACGGTTTTTTATTACCGTCCCCTTTTTCTGGTCGTCTTTTGCCCTTTTTGTAGTAGTGTTGGTTCGATCATGTTGAACTGGATTATGGCCAATATCGTTAGCTGACTTGTTGTCACAATGCAACTCCATTGGCTTTTCTGGCTTGAAGCCTAATTCTGTCAAGAGTCTTCTGATCCACAATAATTCACAAACTCTGTGAGCCATTCCTCGATACTCTGCTTCTGCAGTAGATCGAGAAACCACATTTTGCTTTTTACTCCGCCAAGTAACTAGGTTACCTCCCACGATTGTAAAGTAATCAGAAGTAGAGCGTCTATTTGTAATGGAACCAGCCCAATCAGCATCTATATATCCAACAACTTCAAGATCTTCATTTTTTTAGAACATTAATCCTTTTCCAAGGGCTGACTTTAAGTATCTTAAGATCTGATCAACTACATTCCAATGAGAAACACTGGGTGAATGCATAAACTGACTAACCACACTCACAACATATGCAATATCTGGTCTTGTGTGTGCCAGGTATATCAACCTTCCAACAAGGCGTTGGTACTGTTCCTTTTTGGTTGGTTCTTGGTCCATGTCTTCACACAACTTGTGATTCATCTCAATGGATGTGTTAGCAGGCTTACATCCAAGCATTCCTGTTTCAATGAGTAGATCCATTACATACTTCCTTTGAGACAGAAATATACTAGTTTTTGACCTTGCTACTTCGATTCCAAGAAAGTACTTCAGATCACATAAATCCTTCATCTCAAATTCTTGAGACAAAACTTGCAACTTAAGTTGCTCTTCTGCGTCGTTTCCAGTCACGATTATGTCATCTACATAAACAATCAATGCAATAAGTTTTCCTTCATCACGCTTCAAGAACAGGGTATGATCTGAATTACTCTGTGTATATCCAAAATTCTTCATATATTTAGTAAATCTGCCAAACCATGCCATGGGAGATTGCTTTAACCCATATAATGACTTTCTGAGCTTGCAAACTTGATTTTTCTTGTCTGGAGCTGAATTACATCATGGGGGTAAGTCAATATATACTTCTTCTTCCAAGTCTCCATGTAAGAATGCATTTTTGACATCAAACTGATGTAGTGGCCAATCGAGATTTGCTGCTAGAGACAATAAAACTCTAATAGTGTTAATCTTGGCTACTGGGGCAAAGGTTTCCTGGTAGTCTATCCCATATCTCTGTGTGTACTCCTTCACCACAAATCTAGCTTCATATCTTTCAATAGATCCATCTGCTTTGAGTTTCACAGTATAAATCCACCTACATCCTACTATCTTCTTTGCATGAGGTAAGGCACGAGTTCCCATGTGACATTCTTTTGGAGAGCTTGCATTTCTTCATTCATGGCTTCTTTCCATTTTGGGTCTTCTAGTGTTTCAGTTACACTATTAGGGACAAATATGTTAGCCAACTGCTTCACATAGTGCACACGTGACTTTGATAATCTATTGAGAGATATATAATTATTCATGGGGTATTTCCCTTTGGCTTTAAGATCTGCTTCATATTCTACTCGAGGTTTGCCACGGTTCTTCCTTTCTAGAAGCGGATATGTAGGCTCTATGCCTTCTGAAATCAAATCATCATGGGATATTTCATTAGTGTTATCAGTTTCAAGAAAAGATGTTACTTGAATGACTTCCTCAGCAAATGATTGGTGTGGTACTGGAGCTGAAGCGGGCAAAATCTCATAAAATGGTTCAATTTTCTCCTCCTGATTTTGACAGCGTGGAGACAACTGAACGTTTTCCTTTGGCGACCGGTCGTTTTGAAGCAGGTTCTCTACATTTGAAGAACTAAGGAGGGGCGACCGATCGCTTTCCACAGACGACTGGTCGTTTTGATGCAGAGTGATGTCCTAGGGGAAAAAAATCGAGATTTTGAGCAGTGGTGGATTCTTAATTCTCCTCCTGGGCTGCTGAAAAATATAAGTCATGTTCCCAAAACACAACATCTATGGAGGTAAAGACCTTCTGACTAGGAGGATGATAACACCGGTATCCTTTCTGATGAGGTGCATAGCCAATGAAAACACACTTTTTAGCTCGAGGATCCAATCTGCTTCGTTGGTGATCATGTAAGTGGACAAATACAACACAACCGAAAATCCGGGGTTCTAGGTTTGGGATGGGAGGTGTTTGGATATGGTGGTGAAGTGTTTGAAGTGGTATTTGGAAATTTAGGATACTAGAGGGAATCCGATTGATAAGGTATGCTATAGAGACGACAACTTCGCCCCAAAAGTATCGTGGCATATTGGCACCAAAGAGAGAGGCACGAACAACTTCCAATACGTGTCTGTTCTTTCTTTCAGCCACCCCATTCTGTTGGGGAGTGTAAGGGCATGAGCGTTGATGTATGATACCATGATCTTGTAAGAACTGGTTAAGATCATGGTTGAGAAATTCTCCTCCATTGTTAGAATGAAGAACCTGAATTCTGGCATGAAACTGAGTCTCCACCATTTGATAAAACTGTTGAAACTTGGAACTGACTTCCCCTTTAGTGTTGAGAAGGGAAACCCAAGCCATGCGTGTGCAATCATCTATAAACGTGACAAACCATCGAGCCTTTGCTGGCATGGCAATTTTAACAGGTCCCCAAACATCAGAATGAACAAGAGAAAGCGGAACCAAACTCTTATTTGAACTTAATGGGAACGGGACACGATGGCTCTTAGCCAATTCACACGTATCACAATGGAAGCTGGAAACATCAAGACTGAAAAATAATGATGAAAACAACTTCTTAAGATAACTGAACAAGGCATGCCCAAGACGTTTATGCCATAACCAAAATTTGTCTCTCTTCCCCTTAGAACGAGTTCCACTGGTTGTGAAAGCTTGACCAACATTGGTCTCACTATCCGGTGCCCAGTCCAAGTCGTAGAGTTTGCCCCGCCGAGTACCACAACCAATCGTCTTTCCTGTAAGGATGTCTTGAAAAACACAATGATTCAACCAAAATGTTACTGTAAAAAGATGGAACAAGCAATATAGAATCCAGATATAGGGAGGTAGAGAGAGATAGAGAGCTCTCCTCAACCACAAGGGAGGGGGTACCATTAGTATTAGACACCACTAACGAAGTGGATGATTTGCGACTAATAAGTTGGCCATGATGAAATGTCATGTGATCCGTAGCACCCGAGTCGATAATCCATGCTAATTTTTGAGAGGACGTATGAAAAGTAGAACCTTTGGTGGTGGCGATAGAAGCACGAATCCGGGTAGCCGGATTAGCAGGATTGACCGCATGCATCTGGGAGTCTGCAATAAAGGGGAGAATCGTAGAGGCTCCTAACATCGCAGGGGAAGTAAGATGTGATATGAGAGTGTAAGGAATTTTGATTAGAGAAATTTGATTTGAGGAATTTGATGTATGAATTTGATGTAGGAATTGAATTTGAGAGGTATGTGTATAAGATTTGAGGGTCTGTATTTAGGGATTTTGATAAGAGGATTTGAGGACTTTAGATTTGAGGGATTTGGATTTGAGAAAAAAATATGAGGAATTTGATTTAGGGTGTTGGATTTGAATATGAGAAATTTGAGATAAGGGTTTAGAGACAACCTAGGATCGATTGCTATGATACCATGCTAAAATAGAATATAGTTTGAATACTTTGGGTTAGGTTTTATTCTTCTCCATAAGGAGGTATATATAGGAGTTTACATGAGTTCTTTACAAGGAAGAAGATACAGTAATCAATTAGGAAAGTATCTTTTAATTATATAATGATTTGTCAACTATATAGAATAGGAAAGTAAATCCCTTAATTAATCAAGGAAATAAATCTCCTTGATTAATTAGGAGACTCACGTCAACAAGTATTTTTCTTTTGAACTGGCCATATATTTTGAGATTTGCTGGGTCCAAATTATTTTTGTTATTTATTTATCAAACCTCAAGTTTTATTTTTCCTTTTTGATATTGCGGTATTCTAAACTACTATAATTTACAGGGAGGCAAAGTTGAACTCGAGTACAAGGAGGCAGGTACACTACCTAAACCAACTAGCCTAACATTCTTGGTTTGCTCTCACGCTATATATATGCTTTCTAATTATAGGTACAATGGTTTAGCCTCACATTGTTGGTAAATTAGTCTAACAATTTATTTAAGTTAAGCCAAATTTTTGTAGGTTGTTTGGGCACATTGATGTGGAAAGGTACTCAATTAACTTTTCCTACCTTGTTAGGCTTAATTTACCTACATTCACACAAGTAAATTAAAATTTGCAAGTTGTGTGTCGCTGCATTGATTGTTCATGTGTCACAAAACTAAAGAGGAAACATAGGGCACAAGGGGACTTGGTAACATGAAAATTGGATTCTTCCTCACCATCCTTCTCAACACTTGATACATGTCCTTTAGTATAACTATAGCTAATTCTTTACTTTTATTTTTTTAAAATTAAAACAAAAAATTAGAGTAAAATAGAAATAAAAATAACATTAACAAAACAAAAACAAAACTCTATCTCCTTCTCTCTCTCCCTTCTTGATGTAGCCCCACCCCTGAGGCCCTATTATCTACAACCACCCCTTCAACAACCATAGCCACCCTTGCCCTGCGACAACCCAACCATCATTCCCTTCACCTTGGAGTGAGCAAAACATGATTCTTTATACACAGCGATTTGACCTTCTCTTCCAAAGCCCAATTCAATTTCCTAATTTTCTCAATCTCTTCCCTTTTGGCTCTAGGCCTCTTCACCATCCCAACTTCTATGGCCTCCATTATTCTCCTCGCTTGTCTTTTCCTTTGAAGGAAACATGTACTTAAATTTTCAAATCCCTGGATTTTAGGCTACAACATGCATAAATCAAACATTTAAAGAGGTGGAAGTGAATTTTAGTTCTTATTGAGCCTAATGCTATTCAATTTCCCAAGTATCTTTCTAGGTCTAATCTCATATGTGCCTAAAAACAAAAGTGGAGGAAATGATTAGACTTTCTTACCTTAAAGATCGATTGGATGGCATCCAAGTTATCACCTTTAATGAAAGACCTTATTCCTTGTGCTTGCTTGATAGATTCTTCTCAAAAACACCAAAATAAGTATCATCTAGTTCATACATACCAAATAAAGAGAAGAGGTGAAGAAGATGACTAAGAGGACGTGATGTGCTAACCTCTCTTCTTGGTGGTCGATTTTGGCTCATGGTAGAGAGTGGATCTTTCATCTCTTAACACCACACCTAATTTCTTAAGAGGCTCAAACCCTAAAGAGTGAATGGTATAAGTATGGCTTATATAGATCACACCACAAGTGAGGAAACCCTCACCTGTAACCGGCCATAGTGTCATTGGGCTTCTCTTGGGCCCACTTGAGTTTGTATTGTCATACACCACTTATTCTTGGGCCCAATATGTCCTTTCCTTTTTAACCCAAAATGACAGTAAAGCCCAATTGAGTCCAAATGTCAAACTAATTTCATAATTAACAGTATAATTATGATTTGTGACTTAACCATAGTCCTTATAGTTTGACTTGGTCAACCATTTTAGTCAACTTATTTGACTTTGACCGTTGACTTTCAATGTCTTATCTTCTTCATTTGTTCCTCTTATTAAATTTATCGGTATGCGATCCATATGTTCGAATTAGCGAGGTAGTGGGTATGTCTGATTCCTCTGAACCGTGTGTGAATTAAATCTCATCGTTTAATTCGCCCTATTGGCGAATGCTAATTATAATTAGACCTGACAGGGCTTTCACAAGTCATGAGACCTAGCAATATATTATGGCTACCCAAGTTAAGTAGAAAGGTAAAGAACCTATTTAAGTTGAATTTTTGTGCAATTGAGTCATTATCTATTACAATGCTCCTAATTCATATTATTAGAGTATGAATACTTTTGTCAATATCCTAATATGAATTTTCCACTTATATGATCACATTGGTTATGTCTAGAAACTTCTTTTCTAGTTATATCCATTACTCTGTAGAGATTTCCTCAATCATATTTTTGGAGCATTTTTTTCTCCTTACTAAGAGCATAGATCTCTTGTTGTACATTCACTTGTCTCTGTGAGCTTATTGACAATCATGAAGATCACCTTTTGAATCATATTTGTCGTCACAACCGTATAGTGATTTCAAAGACAAACGACTCGCCCACAAGACAACCATGATGTCTCATATCTGAGGACTAATTTGCACTATTGCAACTTATGAGTTCTAGTTTGACATGTGAGTAAGACTTTCATCTTAGAACTCATGGTTTGATTGCAATGAGTGTACTTGTCTCTATAAGCACCTACACATTTATCTTAGTGTCTCTATATGTAATGACTTGAGACTAGTCATTCTCCCAGTCAAGCATATATAGTGTGTACCAATATTTACGGATGATCAATGCCTAATTGATAATCCTATGACTGAGAACATTAAGGAAATGATGTGGAAGTATGAGAGGTCTCATTATATCCAATCTCATTGCATAGCCATCATACTATTTCATATTCCAAGGACTGTTGTTTTATTGTTATGATTATATACCAAATATCATGGTTGAAAACTACGATCTTGCCCATAAATTGGTGACATATCCATAAAGCAACATCACATGTTTCGCATTAGGGCATATTTCCAACATCCTCGACCTGCAAACTCATCTTCTCTATCTATGAATCGAGGTCATGGCATCATTGAAGGTCAACATCCTGGGGTTATGTGTATAATTTACGCAGAGCTTCTTCAATCCCTGCGTGAAATTGGGGTTGAGGGTCGGGTCAATGACAGAGGTCTTGTTGAAATTGAAGATGTGGTTGATGAACTCCTAGCAAAGGCTATGGTTGCTGAGGCGAGTGTTTGTAGAGTGGGGCTCGGTCGAGAAGGGGATATATAATGAGCGTTTTTGTTTTTTAAGATGTTACTTTATTTTAATTTTATTATTTTAAATACTTTAAACGGTTAAAAGCAAAAGGTTAACTATAGTTATACTAAAGGACATGTGTCAAATGTTGAGAAAAATGGTGATGATACACATTGGGTTAAGGTGGTGAGCAAAAGTGTTGTATCACTAATAATAGGAAAGGAAAAATATTTTTTTTATCCTCATCTTTCAGCATGGCTTTCACTTTACAATGCACTTAGTAGTTTCCAAAAGCTCTCTTTCTATTCTCTACAATGAGTGAGTGAGTGAGTAAGCGAGTATAGGGTTGAGTGGTTTAAGAAGCAAAGAGTTCTCCCTCTGTTTGTGTGTAATAATTGAGTGGTTTTCTGTGATCATGAAGGAGCGAGTTCTCTCTTTGCTTCTCTGCAATGATTTTGTGGCGACTTATCTCTCTTCAATGATGGTGTGAAATTTGGGTTCTAAAATCAAGAATCAAGAATGCCGCCATCTACTTGAAATCGAAAGCATAGACAATTAGAGGATGGTGTTGGTTCCTTTGAGTTTCAATTTCAGACCTAGAAAGGTAAAAGGTCTTCTAGGGTTTTTCAGACCAAACAGAATGTAGTCGTGGAGGAAATGTCGACTGCTTGTCTTCCTCTGTGAAAGGGTTTGTCACCCAAACAGGGTGGTGACCTCTAATTCTTTTAAATGAAATGATCAAACGGGCCGAGTGGAAATGGTAGTAAAACCATCCTTAATGTGAATGATTGCATGGCATGCCAGTACCACGATCTTTAAATGGCTGTAGGTACGAGTGAATGATGTTGCGCTATATATTTGACTTCTTTCGGAAATAATGGCAAAGTTAGGATCAAACTCTCAGCCATAAGGTTCAAGTCTCGATAACAAGACTTTTGAAGGGGTGTTTGAGTGTCGTGTCACTGAACTTGATAACTCAAATGACCTTAGATTACTTAGAAACTTGAAAAGCCTCAGGGGTCTAAACCGAAATGGATTGGATGTGCTCAAGAAAATCTTTGTATCAGAACAAGAGAATTCCCGATTGATATATTGAATGAACAATTACAATAGATGGTGCTCAAGAACTTTGAACGTTTCAGAGGTCTTGTTGATTCTATACGTGTAATCCTAATAATGAAAGCAATAAAAACTGTGAAACTAATGAAAAATAGTTCAGAAGTGCATCGAGTAGCCTTTGAGCTGAATTGGTGTTGGACCCCTAGATCTAACTGCTTCTCTTCAATATAGAGAGCCTTTAGTTTGGGCCGAGAGAATATTTTCACAGCCCCTCATTAAATGTTTTTGACACCCTTCTTCTTTGCATACATGGTTGCGGGATTGCGTGATTACAGGTCTTAATACAAAGGAGGAAAGAAGCCGAATTATATGTCAGATTGCATACACTTGCTGGAATATATGGAAGACTAGGAATAGGGTGGTGTTTGACAATTACATACCCCAACCCCAGCAAACTCTCAAGGCCATTTTTGACCAGGTAAATGAAAGACTTTCTCTAAAGCAATTTATCTCCCCTTCCACCATAAGACCCGTTCATTCCCCTGCCCAGGCTTCATGGGCAGCCCCTTCTGAGCCTCATGTCAAAATAAATGTTGATGCCGCTTGGCAGAAAAGTACTTGTCGTGCGGGGGCTGGCATAGTTATCCGTAATTTTGAAGGGAGATTTCTTGGGGCCAAAGCTGTGAGTTTTCAAGCAGAGAATGCTCTGGTGGCTGAGGCAATTGCGTTATGGGAGGGCTGTAAGTTTGCTAAGGAGCGGGGTCACATCATGGTTTGCTTTGAGTCGGATTCTCTGGAGCTTATCAATTGTGTTCGTGGCTCTTTTGGTCAAGGGAGTTGGACTTTGTTCCCAATTCTTACACTTATACGCGATGAGCAACGGCGTTTTGAAGAGTGCAGGTGGAATTGGACCACCAGGAATTGTAACCAAGCGGCGGATCACCTTGCGTCGCTGGCACTATCGAGGAGGAGTACGGAAGTATGGGTCGATCGGCCCCCCACCTCTCTTGTGCACATCCTTTGCAAAGATGGACTCCCTTGTCCTCACCATGCTTAATTTGGCTATTGACTGGTCTTGAATTGTTTTTGACATCCTTTTGGTTGGATTATTTTTTCTGGCGCTTTATTCTTGATCAGCCTAATTGTATTGTTTGTTTCTTTGGCTTTCCATGCATTGTCTGTTTTGTTGCATGGACAGGCTTGTTTTCCCTTTGTTTGGGCGTGGGCCTCTTGTTTTAGGGGTTTCCTGTGCTTTTGAATACAAGATCTTCTCGACCAAAAAAAAATAAAAAATAATGAAGTTTATGTTTGATTTAAACAACATTGAATGGTAGTAAATATGATTTGTCACGTCTCATATGACAGCTTTGTTCTTTGATTGGACTAGCTTTGGCACTTTGGGCAGTGAAAAGCTCGACCTTCCTCAATTAGGAGACTTACATGAAACGAGAATATCATTATTTTGCTATTCCTGACCAATCATGGTATGCCACGCTTGATAACATTTCCACGTGGCAAACTGTGATTGGCTGGGGATAGCAAAACAGTGATATCCCTATTTCATACAAATTTTTCTGCTCGACTAGTGATATCTACCTTCTCGGTAAGGCAAACCTTCCTCAGCTAAAGAATCAGGTTAAGTTTCCTCTTCGTTATTAGGCCACTTTCGTAAGGCCCCAATGTTTTTTCAAGTCCAATGGTCCTTCTCAGGTGTTTAACTTTCCTAAAAGGCCCAAACTTCACTCTTTCGAATTGGGGGAGCTTCTATAATGAGGAGCTAATTTGAGGAGGTTATGTGAGGAGGCCCATCTCACCATTAAAAGGGGTGTGGACCCCCCAATGCACCCCCCATGTACTTTGTTTTTGGTTATTGATGGTGAGATTTCACCTCCTCAAATAACCTCCTCAAATTAGCTCCTCATTCTAGCCTTTCCAATTGAATTGGATTGATGGGGCCTACCAATTCTTCTTGGGCCCATTAGCATAATTTTCAAGGTCCAAACACAGGGCAAGGCCATCATCCCTCGACTTCGTCTTCTAGAAAACCTAAGCAATTGCAGGAGCTGGGTTTAGATGGCCTGCGGAAAGAGACGGCGTATTGTTCTAAAATATTGGGTTGTCTGATGCTCCGCCATGCGAGCTTCTTTGAGAAGCCGATGCTGTGGCCGAGAAATTGCCCGGTGACGGCATCATGGATTTCGGTACTAAATCCAAATTGGAGAGAGGTGCCTACTCCAACGCTAATGGCTTTGCTTATGAGGCTTATCTTCTCAAATGAGGATTGAGCATGCAGCAGCCAAGAATGTCAGTGGTGTTTTTGAGACCAAGTGGAAAGAAGACATGGAGAAAAAGCGAAATGCTATTTGTCCTCCTCTCCGCAAGGGTTTGTCAGTCACCCAAACAGAAACAGGGCAAGGGCTCTTCTACTTCTAGAGTTCTTCAAACTCAAAGGCTTGGGATTCTCACCCAATTGATTCAACGAAAGATGATGACTTCGCCATACTTGTTCATCATGCCATGGATCCGATCAGGCCTCTCATAATCTTTCTTCATGTAAAGCTAGCCGAATTCAATCACTTGAAGATACGATTTGCAAAGCAAACAAGATAATTAAGAGTCCACTTGATTCCCCACTAAGCAGAAAATTGATGCAGCCGAATAAGGAAAGTGGATCGTCTCGCCGTACCATTTTGAACATGAAGAAGTCAATGTATTCTGACAACAATTTACAGGATAACAAACAATTTGAGATGCTGTGTGGCTATGACAGTGAATATTCTGTTCTAGAGGTCCACTTTGAACTTCACTTAAGAAATTAGGTGTATACCTCAAGGAAGATGATGAGTTGGAAGGCCAGGATGAGGAGGCTTGTGAATGGAGATTGGGAGGAAGGAAAGATCCATTCATGAAGGTAAGTGCCACCTTGGCGCTGCTATTTTGTTGTAGATATGTATATGTTCGGTTAGAGTTTCCACTTTTGTTGTTGATTAGCAATTAATGTGATTCTGAATTAATTAAACAATTCTTTCCAAGTTGAAGGATATGTTGGCAACACCAGTTTCTGTTTCTGTTTGTTCTCTAATGGTACTTTGTTTATTGTTCTATATGTTCTATCTGTCCGATTCCTTCCACTCAGTTTTCTATTGCAAAGTAAATCATAGTTGAATATATTAGGTGGATCTAGAATAAGTTTATGGAACCATAACAAGTTTTTTTTTTTTGGGTATAAAAGATAAAAAGAACCTATTTTAACTGTAACGTGCCCAAGTCTGCAGTGGAGCAGAGTTTCTAAAGGGGATCAGAAACAGTTGTACATGTCTGATTTAGTCCTGGATAGCCAGATATATTGGCAACTTCACCATAGTTGAATATACTCTAGTAGCTTTCACTTTCTTTTTAATTACTGTTGATCACCAGTGCAATTTTTTTCTGTTATTTCACCAAAATATCTGAAATTTTTATCACCAGTTGTGTAGTAAATATATCGAACCACAGCAAGCTTTCATCTTGCCTAGTTATTCATCTGTTATTTCTTGTTATAAATAAAAGATTAAAAAAGAACTCTCTTTTACTGTACTTTCTGATGCCTAATATGTACTAGAGCAGAGTTTCTAATGAGGAAAGACAGTTTTAAATGCTCTGGCTCCTGCTAATCAAATTATGTGTATTTAAGTTTTTTTTTTATTGAATAAAGAATGATAATAATAGAATTTAGCATCTGTACAAACAAATGATTTCTTATAAAAGATGTTCAGTGTCAGTGCCCCTTTATTTTTTCATGAAAACATCTTCTTCCCACTTGTTTCTGGGTAATAAAAGTTCTCTGCAGCTAGAAATCATAGGATCTGCTTAACTTTCTATCGCATTTGGTAGAGCCTGATGGTTTTCTTTCCCTATGAACTTGAACCATAGTGCAATTCCAACTCCAGCTATTCAGGTTTATTCATCTTTTAGTTAGTTTTGATTTAATAAGGAATGAAATGATGAATACTTCTGAGTATTTAGCATCTGACTATCTCTTTGCATCAATAATGTCATAATATGAAGGAAAAATATGGTGTGTGTGCCCCCTCATCTAATTCCAGCATTGGCATTTGCTTCAGTAACTCTGATAATCTAGTACCCCATCTTCATTTCTCCTCTAAATTTATGAAATAACCCAGATAGTGTTTTTTTTGGGTCTTTTGTGGCTTAGATTTCTCTCTCCTTTTTTTTTTTTTTTTTTTGCTCCCCAGGGGTCTCATTTATGTTGTTGTCACTATAATTATGTCATCATATGTCACTATGGTTATGTTGTCATATGTCACATATGACATTTCACTTTGTTTATGCATTAGAGTTTTAAGTTACATGTTGTCTGCACATATCCAAATTTCATATCAGTATGATTTTTCACTGAGAACTTGGGTTGATGAAGAAGAGAGGTTATAGTTTTTAGAGTATATTATCTGCATCATTTGAGATCTTGAGGTGGTGTGAGCATTATATATAGATTAGAATCCCTAGCAAGCAGCATTGGATTTTTTTTTTATTGTATAGAGCATTGGTTAGAGTTTATTTAGTATTGTAATATTTCTTTTAAGTCCTCTCAATTTTTCTTTAATTATACTTTTCCTGGCTCTATAGTTTCTAACTGTTTGAGTTTTCCAAGTGTTATGTGTATCAGAGTAGAATAACTAGTAAGGTTGGCTTGGCACATCATAATATGACTAGTTTTACCCTTCTGCAGTTTAATCTTCTGCTCTAAATGGGCTGTGATTCATATTAATTTGTTGCATTATGTACAACTTGAGTGCCCTATTTTCTGAGATAAAATTCCATCCAATTTCTAATTTCATATGGATGATTTAGAATCTTGATATCAGGCACTCTCTTTTAAGAGCACTTTGTTTGTACATGAAGTTTATATCTTCTGTTTGTGTATGTGTAGTTTTCCTGTGGCCTTCCAGATAGTCGATGAAATGCCTTTTCAATAGGCTTCCATGTATGTAATCACCAGTAATTGTCCATTTTTCGTTAAGTTTAGGATTGCAACTTATAATGTTGGTCACATATACAGTTCTGTAATCTTAATCTTTTCAGTTATTCCAACGTTATGCTTAACTCTCGTGTTTTCTTCATTCTGTTTGATATAATTTGTTGTTTTGTCATTCTGATGCAAAAACTTGATCTCAGCCTTGTCATTATGGGTAACAACACTGCATTTCAAAGCGCAGTCATTTGGCTTTCTGAAAATTTAACGCTTGTCGATGCAAGAGTTAATCTTGTTGATGTATGTATTGAGGAACTTGTGGAAAAAAATAATTTTGGTTTAGTTATGCTGATCCTAGAACTGAATTATTCTTGTCCCTTCAGATTGCTCAAAATGTGATGTAGCTACTGTATGTAGATATTATTTTGAAAGTAATTCAAGAGTAATGTTTATCATTGTCAAGTCATGTATGTGAGGTGTTTTAGTGGTTCTCTTTTTCATTTGATTGCTATTGTGCAGTGCAACATAAGAGTGCTTGGAGGACTTGTCTCTGGTCATCTACTTGCGACTGATTCTACAGACAGGTTGGGTGAAGGAGTTTACAAGTATCAGCTGCTTACTTTGGCTGAGGATTTGGGAAAACACTTTCTACCTGCATTTGACACACCCACTGGATTACCATATGCATGGGTTAACATAAAGGTACCACCTGAGACATGTTAAGGTCCAACTAAGAATTACATTTTGATTTTTAGGATGCATGCATGATATGAATATTTCTAAATTGTTATCATCAGTCTAAAATACAGTTAGGTGTACTTGCAAAATCTTTCCAAGGATTCACCTTTCTAGTTTTAAAATTATATGAAAGCATTCAGGTGGTTTTGTTTGTAGGAAGGATATACAACTCCCAATCAATGCAAAATTCCGTGGACTGTATGGAGTGATGGAGAATGAGACTTACTGAAACAAGCACTTCAGGGTGTGGTGAGTGGCTTTGTTTTGCAGTATTGAGATGAGGACATCAATAACGGCTTTCCTGAATGTCTTGATTCTCTGTAGGAATTCAGGTTCTCTAATTCTGGAAATGGGAGCATTATCCCAATTGACTGGAGACCCCGAATACGAATCTGCAGCTTTTCGTGCTCTTCGTAAATTATGGAGCATGCGGAGTTCGTTGAATTTACTTGGTACAAACACTGGATGTATCAACTGGGGAATGGATTGAATATTCAACTAGGATTGAGGCTGGTAGGTTTTCTCAGGGCTTTGAGGTCTTCAATGTACTACATTTTATGATGCATAGTTTATTGGCTTTCCCAAATAGAGTTTGATGTTTCTGATGTTGGATTATCTGTTGCTTCATTTAGGGGTTGATTCATTTTATGAGTATCTATTTAAGGCTCGCATTCGTTTTGGAAAGGGAGAGTTCTGGAGAATGTTTCATTCTGCTTATATTGCTGTGCAGGAATATTTCAGACATGGTCCGAGGTACAGCGCTATCTCCCTAGCCTTATTGAATGCCATAAACAAAGTACCATTAGAGAACAAACAGAAATAGAAACTGGTGTTACCAATATATCATTCAACTTGGAAAGAATTGTTTAATTAATTCAGAATCATATCCTTAATTTCCTTGGTTCTAGAAATTAATAACGAATTGCTAATCAACTACAAAGTGGAATCACTAACCAAAGAATGACTGCGAGTGCAGAACATATACATCATCCACAACAAACTAGCAGAACCAAAGTGGCCCTTACCTTCATGAATGGATCTCCTTCCTCCCAGCGGATCTCGCCTTCCTCCCAATCTCCTTTCAGAAAAGCCTGCTCATCCTGACCTTGCAACTCATCATCTTCCTTGAGGTATACACCCAATTTCATAAGTGGGAGTCCAAAGTGGACCTGTAGAAAAGGATCTTCACTGCCACAGCCACACAGCATCTCAAGTTGTTTGAGATCCTATAAATGGTCCTCAAAATACACTGACTTCTCCATGTTCAAAATGGCACGGCGAGCCGATTCCCTTCCCTTTGTCCATTGCATCAACTTTCTGCTTGGTGGAGAATCAGGTGGACCTTTAATTATCTTGTTTGCTTTCAATATTGTATCTGAAAATCGTACCTTCAGTGGCTGAATTCGGCTAGCCTTACATGGAGAAAGATTATGGGAGGCCTGATCCATGGCATGACGAACAAGGGTAGTCAAGATCATCTTTGGTTGAATCAACTGGGTGAGAATCAGAAACCCCAAGCCCTTGAGTTTGAAGAACTAGAAGTAGAAGAGCTCTTACCCTGTTTCAGTTTGGGTGACACTGACAAACCCTTGACTTTGCACAAAGGACAAGTAGTCTCTAGCTTTTTCTCCATGGCTTCTTTCCACTTGGTCTCAAAAACACCACTGCGATTCTTGGCTGCTCCGTGCTCATTTCTCCCAAATGGATAATATCTTAAAGCATTTGAGAAGATAAGCCTGACATCAGCAACAAAGCCATTAGGGCTGGAGTAGGCACCTCTCTCCAATTTGGATTTCACAGTACCGAAATACATCGGCCTCCCGATGTCTTTGTTAAGACAACCTCGTGCTTCATGAAGAACCTCGCATGGCAGAGCATTATGAGACAACCTAAGATTTTAGAACAATACATCGTTTCTTTCCGGCCAACGCCCAATTTTGCCTCTTGCTCTTTTGGGTCTGATGGAGATCATCTAAATCCAGCTCCTCCAATTGGCTATGCTTTCTAGAAGACGAAGAGGAAGACAAGCAGTTGGCTTTTCCTCCTTGGCTACTTTCTGTTTGGTCTCAGAAACCCTAGAAGACCTCTTGCTCTTCTTGCTCCACGGCTATGTATCAAAATTTTTGTTCACACTGCAAATTCTTATGTAAACATACCTACTGCTCGTTGTATTTTATGTGTGCTGTATCAGCTTGTCATCAAGAAGTGATTATATGGTGGGTTGATGAATGTTAGATTGTATATTTTGTTTCTGTAGTTGATTGCTAAGGAATTTGGAAGCGTGTGTTTCTTTGAGTTATTTATTTATTTATTTACTTTGGAAGCTTGTATATTTTTTGGTAATGAGAAGTAATGTCTTTGGTTAGAGGCAAAGTTAAGACATTTGAGTTTCACGTTCATTCAGCAACGGAGAAAATTTTGATGAAAATCTTGCTCGTACTAGTTATACTGCCTTCTTGCTTTGTTCCACACGTCATTCAATATCATTCCAGGGAAAAGTTTAGCTTGTTACAAAAATTTGAGAATTGATGTTCCTTAAAATGCAATTTCAGCTGCAAAGGAGGGTGGTGAGAAGTGGAAGTCTATGAGTGGTGTGGTCATGTTTTTGTTTTGTTTTGTTTTTTGTCAACTTGTGTGTACAGGAAATGGAAATAGAAGAAGCTTTATATGGTCAAAGCTGCTGATGAAGCCATTTTGTTTTTCAGAGAAAAGGGGAGCACATATCGAATGTGTTGTAGAGAAGAAACTTTACAAGGATACACCCACTAAGCTTAAAACAGAGTATGAAAAGGCCTTTGAGAGTGATAATGGTGAAGTTGGAGGTAGACTCACTCAGTCACGGGGCGGGAGAGATGGAGGCTTTAAGTCTTTCTCGTTCTCAAGTCATCTATTCATTGTGCCACTGAGTCCATGGATTTATATATTATCATGGTTTTATGTTATTCAATTTTGGCTTTAATGTGGTTATTCAGGGTGAAGAAGGTTGAGAGAAGAAGAAGAGTGTTTGGTGCCTTTTTTGTTGCCAGTTTCCGGAAAATTTTGAGGCTGGTAATGGTTTACTCAAGGTGTGGATATAAGAGAAGTTATGTTTAGGTGTTATAAATTTTGAGGTGTGATGTTTTGATGTTGGATTATGTGTTGCTTCATTTAGGGGTTGATTCATTTTATGAGTATCTATTTAAGGCCTACATTTTTTTTGGAATGTGAGGAGTTCTGGAGAATGTTTCATTCTGCTTATATTGCTGTGCAGAAATATCATTCTGGGGAAATGTCATTATTCAGGGAGGGGATATCCCCTTGGTTTTGGTATTCCTGTTAGGGGAGGGGGAGGGGGTTTTTAGGAGGGACTTGGGTGATTGGAAATGGAAACCATCAATTTTTGGGCCATACATGCCAATGTTGGCTCTATGGGGAACACGCGTGATGCATAAAAAAATAAAAAATAAAAAAAATAAAAAAACTAACGCCATTTGAGTTCTATGAAAGATGCATTAGCTCCGTCTTTAACTTGTATTAGTCTTGTATAAGTTGACAACAAATTGGTACATCATCGCATAAGTTTGGAAGCCAAATTTGCTGGCATCCGAATAAGCAAGTCACTTGGGCATAACGCTTGATAACAACTTAAACAGACCAAACTCTGAATAAAAGTTAATTGGCTTGTGCTATCTCTTCTTGCTGGTGAAGTATGTGAATGTGGGTAATTCAGAGCTCTCCATCGGATCCATTACCATATCCATTTCCCTGATGCGATGCACTGCAGACAGACACAATATATAATTCCGGGGTATTATACAAAGGGAAACCCTGCTGGAAAGCATAACCCAAAATAGCTCTGGACTGGAGAAGTAATGCTCTAAGTTCTAATTGGTGGATTGATTCGCAAAGTCAGGACTCTGGATTAATCATATTTCTAGAAACTGGTTGAGTTGCTGTAATGAAAACCTTTTCAACTAAAGGGTCCAGTGTTAAAAATAAATTTAAAAACAAAAACTGTTATGTATCGATCAAGTATCCTTGATACCATGGCATGATTGGTCTTTGCATTATTGGGGGCCAGGGAGGGAAGCAGTAAAAAATATGGAATTACTTTCATTGATATTTATATGTTATGATGAATTAACCTTACCTGGTCCTGCTACAGTGTGCACTCAGATCTTGACATAAGACCTTGCTTACATCTCCTCCTCTTACAGATCCTTTCTTTATCAATTCTGCCAACTGCAAGAACAATTGCAAAATCAGAATACAAAAGTATTAATGCTCAATGCAACCATTGATTATTTGTTTTATTGATAGCAAAAAATATAAGAGTATTAAGTCACCTCATCTTCTGTTTCCTCAAGTAATCTGTTCCAAATGAATACACGAGTTAGGCTTCTGAATCATGGGAGGCTTAAAAATTGAAACTCCTCATTTTTCATATGAGAAGGACAATCAGTTTAAAGTTTAAAAAATTGACACTCTAGTAAAAAGAAAGTAGGAAAACAAAGTTGGCATCTTACCTTCCACAATAGGTTGATAAATCCTTCGAATATGCTTTAGCTTCTTGTTTACCTAAAAACGTACACATAGACACGCAAAACAAAAGGCATATGATTGTTCAGAATCTCATAATTTCATGAAACAGCTCAAAACATGAAATGATTGGTCTTAGAATGAATAAGAACTCCCTTTATTGATGTATGGTCGAGATAAACAACTGACAAGAATGAATGTAATTTTTCTTTCAAAATTTTCTGCATTTTCTGTTATTCTAGGAACTCTCTAGGCAAACTGTTACACTAATAATTATGTTCTCTTTTATTATAAAAGAAAAACGGAACATTAGCCTGTTGCTTAGTGGCTAGATGGCTAGAAAAGTAAGGCAGAGAAATCACTTGTTTAATGCAAAATGTCAACCTCAGTTTAAAGAAAAACACCACCTATAGAATCTTTTGTGTAGAAATACATACTTATTGTGAGGTTATCCCAGTTATCCACTTTGATCCACTCTTTACTGTTTGAATCTATCTGCAAAAGAAAACCAGAATGAGATCATTTTCAAGAAACTAACAACATAATTTGATAGAAAGAAATCAATCTTAAATACATTAACCTTGTGAAGAGTATAATCCTGCATCTTTTCGCAAATTCCATCGAGGAGTTCAACAACTCTGAGCTCACTGACTCTATTGGGTACACATTCGAAGAAGAAGTCACCAACCACTTGTAAAAGAAAGTGAACTAAAGACAACTTATACAACAAGTGATCATATATGGAGTAGTGGTGACTTATATGCTAAAACTCGGTCTGGATTACTGATTTGTATTGAGAATACACAAAGTCATCAACTCATCTACTATACTAGACTAGGATTTTTATTTTTCTCAACATGAGATATTTGGATCATAATATTCCACCACGATTTCAAAACCCGTGATGGTAGCCCTCTCTCATCGCGGGTAGGTTCACTCGCCTACCATTGTAAAATAACTAAGCATTATGCACATATATAATCTAACAAAGGCATTTTAGTCTAGCAAAAGATCACCCCTTTCGTGAAGCTAGATACCAAATGTTAAGAAGCATACATAAAACTTGAAACCGATTAGAAGTGAAAACGATAGTGTGCTTTTGTTTTTTGTCGTAAAATCATAAAGATCATATTGCATAAAACTGTGAGCATTCAAACTGAGAGGAGGAGGCAATCCAGGTAGTACCTGTAATCGATTACCTTTCCTCTCCGTTGACCTGTTGAGTCCAATCGGTGTCTCATATCCAAATGGTTTCTGGGTTTTTCCTGGAAAATTAAATCTTACGACTTTGAATCAGAAACTAATGCAATGTATAGACTTTGCAAAATTGAAAAGCATATGAATTAAAAATCTTACGTTGGAAAGTCCCAACTCGAGCTCCTCCTGCAAAGTTCCATTTGACACCGGAATTAAATTTCATTCCATGAAAAGAGTTTCTTTTTTTCTTTTTTAACAAGATCCGGAATTTCAATTTTCAAATTGCAGAAATGGGAAACAAGAAGAAGATGACAGCGAAAACAAACGAGACTTTACCGCGACCGCATTGCACGCAGCGCATTTGTCATCGATGGAAGAAGCCACGGACAAAATGGTAAATATCAAAACCAACCTCACCACCATTGACCCTCCTCCCATCGGCTTCGTTTCTTCTTCTTCTTCTTCTCTCTCGAGGGCAGTAAGGGTGAATTGCAGTGAAATTGTAATGACTAACTCTGATTATTACTATTCTCTGGGCTGATATCTGGGCCCAGATTCACTCGGTCAACCAAACCCTCCGGTCTCTCAAAAGGTAATAAATTGGCTTAATCTTATTCTTTTGCCCGTACTTTTTTTTTAAAATTGAGAAAACAAGTGAAATACCCTCTAAGCTAGTTGCCTCCTAAATTTGAAGCGTACATTGAAAATAAGCTACAAGTTCATGGGGCAATTACCCCAAGACCGTGAGTCCAATTCCTTGTATCCAACTCTAGTTTGAATCCTTATTCTCGTAAATTTAATATGGACTCATTTAGAATATCGCTCGTACAAACTAATATATTTATTAGATAGGTGAGAAATGTATATAAATTGGAGATGGATCAAATTAGTCTACACCCGATCTGATAAGAAAAAACAATTTGATCGGTTAATCTAGTGGATTATTGATAAACAAATCCATATTCAATTTGTTAAGTAAAGTTAACGGATATTTGATTCGATAATCCAGTACAAAATTTATTTTACAAAATTTATCAATTACCATTAAACATGTTGTTCTTACCAACAACATACTCAGGGTAGTTTTCCATCATGGTCTAGTCATGGTGATCTTGACATAGGACATAGGCTCACCGCCATATTTCTTGCTAATTCCCCTATGTTATTTGATGCCAATACCAAAGACTGTTTGAATAGACAATCTTTCCCATCTGAACTCACCCTAGCCAAGATTATTGCAACTCACGCTTTGCTTATCCAACAAATATCCTTTCAAATTATATAGGGGAAAAAGAAGGAGATAGAAAACATGTAGATCGATTTAACAATTGAAGCTCTGACTCATTAAGCACTAACCTGCGGAAAACTGATTCTGGTACACAAAGATCTTCTACCTTCTGCAAGCTCTTAATCACCAACTCTCAATGGGGCTCGAGTACTGTTTTGGTGCGTGCTCTTGCGAAGGCAGGGACCTCTGTATTAATACTGTTAGCTGGTGGAAATCTGATTGGATTCTCCCATTAGAAACCCAATTAGAATATAACTTGTACACCTAGCATCTGTACACTTATGTCAATATTAATAGGATTAGGATTCCTAAACTCATCAGGATTCTTTATTCACATCTGAATGAGTTTACTGGACGAGTTTGTATTGATCTCTATATTTGCAAACATGAGTTCAAGATTGATTCAATGATTGTGATGTCCTATACAAGCTTACATTCTCCCACTAGGACACACAACATTGAATCCTGTATTGAACCATTGTATCCACAGCAAACATACTTTAGGCGCCATGAGATCAAACCAAAACTCAATCCTAATGTCAAGCTTCTGTCAAGAAGAAATATCCATACAGAACTAAAGAAACTCATGCTTTTAAACAATCAAACATGGTTTCCAGAGTTACATGTACAGAATTCCTAAACACATGAAGCACCATCAAGACATAAGTTAACTGATATGCCATATGAACCTAAAATGTGAATCATAAACATATAAGCATATCAGGCCCTCTTTATGCTTCGAAATGAAGCCCTCAATTGTTGCATCTGAAACAAAAACTTTATTTGAAACATACCATAGTCTCAACTGAATATTGCATATCCTTAATAAAACTGCAGCAACTATAAAATGCAATAATAAAAGAACTTACTGTTTGCAAAAACTACCTTAATGTATAGCCATGAACAAAACTTTAAACTGGAGAAAAATAATTAATGAACGAAACTGAATTAAGAGCTCCCACTAGACTTCATCATCAAAACTTGACAGAACTCCCATGCTCTTCACATGCTGCTTGAAAACACCATTTGGAATTGCTTTATTGAGAGGATCTGCTATCATTGAATGTGTGTCTATGTGGTCAATTCTAGTATGACCCTGCTTGATCTTTTCTCTTACTAGAAGAAACTTGATTTCCAAATGCTTAGTGCCAGCTGACCTTTTGTTATTCCTTGAGTAGAAAACTGCACCATTATTATCACAGTAGATTTGTATAGGCCTTGAAATAGAATCCACCACACGTAGACCAGTAATAAAATTCTTCAACCATGCTGCTTGAATGGTGGCTTCATAACATGCTACAAATTCAGCTTGCATTGTAGATGCTGCCACAGTACTTTGCTTGACACTTTTCCAAGAAATAGCTCCACCTGCTAGTAGGAAAACAAAACCTGAAGTTGACTTGAGATCGTCTGGACACCCTGCAAAATCAGAATCACAATATCCTACTAGATTCAGTTCACTCCCACTTTTGTACACAAGCATGTGCCCTTTTGTTCTCTGCAAGTAACGCAACACTTTCTTTGCTGCAATCCAATGAGGAGTGCCTGGATTTGATTGAAATCTGCCCAACACACTCAAAACAAAAGCTATGTCTGGTCTGGTGCACACTTGTGCATACATCAAGCTGCCAACAAGTGAGGCATAAGGTTTGTTCTTCATCTCATCTTTTTCTATCTCATTCTTTGGACTTTGTTCTCTATTTAGTTTATCTCCTTTCGAGATAGGTACTTCTCCATTTGCACATTCTGACATATTAAATCTCTTAAGTACCTTCTCTATGTATCCTTTCTGAGATAAACCAAGCATTCTTTTAGCTCTATCTCTGTGAATTTCCACCCCAAGCACATAAGAAGCTTCTCCCATATCCTTCATCTCAAAGTTTGAAGACAAGAACTGTTTTGTATCATATAAAAGGGTTTGACTGTTGCTTGCCAAGAGGATATCATCCACATATAGAACAAGAAAGATAAACTTGCTCCCAATGAACTTCAAATATATGCACTCATCTACTGGATTTTCCACAAAGCCTTGGGATGTGACAACTTGATCAAACTTTAAATACCACTGCCGAGATGCTTGCTTTAAACCGTAAATTGATTTCTTCAATTTACAGACTAAATGCTTTCCTCCTTCTTGGTTAAAGCCCTCTGGTTGTGTCATATAAATTTCCTCAGTTAACTCCCCATTAAGGAAAGCTGTCTTGACGTCCATTTGGTGTAGAAATAAGTCAAAATGAGCTGTCAATGCCATGATCACTCTAAATGCATCCTTGGTTGAGACTGGTGAAAAAGTCTCATTATAATCTATCCCTTCCTTTTGAGTGAATCCTTTAGCCACCAGCCTTGCCTTGTATTTTTCTATGTTTCCCTTTGAATCCTTCTTTGTTTTGAACACCCATTTACAACCTATTGGTTTTATTCCACTTGCAGGTTCTACTAACTCCCAAACGCCATTATCTTTCATTGAACCCAGCTCACTTTGCATTGCATCCATCCACTTATCTGCTTCTGAACTTTGCATTGCTTCTTTGTATGTCAAGGGATCCTCAAAATCTGTTCCCATGAAGTCAGCCTCTTGGAGATAAACTACATAGTCCTGAGATATAGCCGGCCTTTTATTTCTTTGTGATCTTCTTACTTGAACTTGGGCCACTTGTGTTTGAACATTATTTGCTGGATTCATATTGTTGCCTTCATCTTCATTTTCTGGATTTGCACGTTGCTGATCTTCTAATTCATAATCCCAATCCATCCCAATTTCTTCATTGTCTTCTTGGTTATTAACTTGTAGCACATTTATTGGGGCATTAGTTTGAGCTGGTTCTATTGCCACTTCACCTAACTCTTCAAACACAAAATCTGATTCTTTGTCTGATGCATCTACTTGCTCCAAAAATACTGCCCTTCCAGTCTCAATAATTCTTGTAGTATAATCTGGACAGTAAAACCTATACCCCTTTGATCTCTCTGGATAGCCAATAAAATAGCAGCTAATTGTTTTGGGATCTAACTTCTTTTCTTGAGGATTGTATACCTTAGCTTCTGCCTTGCATCCCCAAATATGCATGTGTCTCAGACTTGGCTTTCTTGTAGTCCACAACTCATAAGGTGTTTTGGGGACTGCCTTGCTAGGAACTCGATTCAAGATGTAGTTTGCTGTCTTGAGTGCATCTCCCCATAGGTATGTAGGCAAGTTTGAGTTACATATCATGCTCCTAACCATATCCTTGAGAGTTCGATTCCTTCTTTCTGCTACACCATTTTGTTCCGGTGTTCCTGGTGTCGTATATTGAGCCACTATGCCACAATCTTGGAGGAACTTTGCAAAGGGGCCGGGATGTCTACCTGTTTGATCATATTTTCCATAGTACTCACCACCCCTATCAGACCTGACCACCTTTATCTTTAATTCCAATTGGTTTTCTACTTCTGTTTTAAAGATTTTAAACACTTCTAGAGCACTAGATTTTTCAGAGATCAAATAGAGATAAGAATACCTAGAGAAGTCATCTATGAAGGTTATAAAGTACCTATGACCTTCAAGAGTTTGGACAGGAAAAGGACCACAAATGTCTGTATGTATGATTTCTAAGAGTTGAGAACTTCTAGTTGATCCCTTCTTTCTAGATTTCGTTAATTTCCCTTTGATGCAGTTTACACAAACATCAAAATCCTTAAAGTCTAAGGTGGGAAGAATTTGATCTTTAACGAGTCTTTGCATTCTCTCTTTTGAGATATGCCCTAATCTGTGGTGCCAAAGTTTAGAGGAGTTGGTTGATCGGTTCATAATTGTATATCATTTTGTACCCTTCTAGCTTATGATTTGGTTATGTTTTTGAGTTAAACTTGTGCTTTTAATCCTTTTTGTGTTTATCTTTCAGTTCATTGAGCTTTAGGTAATAATGATGGCTTTAGAGAGCATAATTCATGCAATTCAAGCATGTTAAGGCCTAATTTGGATGAATGGATGAAGAGAAGAAAGCTAGGGCTGCTGGTGGGATTTATTGGAGAAGTGCATCAACCAATTCAGATTTTATAATGCAAGTGTTGTATGCATTAGTGAAGTGCATCAACCAATTCATCTTTTATAATGCAAGTGT